TTTTTTTTTTTTTTTTTTTTTTTTTGAGAGAGAGAGAGCAGGGGAGGGGTAGAGAGAGAGAGGGACGCAAAGGATCCAAAGCAGACTCTGGGCTAGAGCCCTGACAGGAGAGAGCCCACCTGATACAGGGCTCAAAATCACAAACTGTGAGATCATGACTTCAGCCCAGGTGGGTTGCTTCACCAACTAAGCCACCCAGGTTTCCCAACCCCTTTCTTTATTAATGCAACCACTTGTTAAAACAGGCTCTAAGGCTCAAAGTAACCTGACTCCACTTTCTTAATTTTATTCTTACACCATTCTCATCCATTCTCCGCCCCGCCCCCAACCTACCCCATGTGGTCTTACAATGACCTCTAAGGTCATAGGTTTTTTTTTTTTTTATTGTGATAAAATACACTTAACATGAAATTCACATACTAACCATTTTTCAGTGTGCAGTTCAGTAGTGTTAAATACGTTTGTTTTGTTGAAATACCATTTTCAAAAATCTTAATCTTGCAAAATTGAAACTCTGTACCCATTAAGTAACAAGCCTCCATTTCTACCTCTCCTCAGTCTCTGGAAATCACCATTCTAATTTCTGTCTTTATGAATTTGACTACTTTGGGTACCTCATATAAGTGGAATCATACACTATTTGCCTTTTGGGGACAGGCTAATTACTTAGCATAGTGTCTTCACAATTCTAATGTGTCAGAATTTCTTTCCTTTTTAAGGCTGAATAATACTCCATTGTATGCACATTTTACTTATCCATTTGTCTGCCAATGGGGTTGCTTCCACCTTTTGGCTATTGTGGCTAATGCTGCTATGACCACGGGGATATAAATTTTTTTGAGACCTGGCTTTCCATTCTTCTGAGTATATCCAGAACTGAATTTGCTGGATCATATGGTAATTCTACTTTTAATTTTTTGAGGAACAGCCATACTATTTTTCATAGAGGTTACACCATTTTATATTGCCACCAACAGTATAGGTTTCCTTTTCTTCACATCCTCACCAACAGTTTCTTTCTCCTCACCCCCGCTTTTTGATAATAGCCATTCTAATGGGTCTAAGGCACTATTTCATGGTTTTGAAATGAAAATGGCTAGTGGTGTTGAGCATCTTTTTTTATACGCTTGCTGGCCATTTGTATACCTTCTTTGGGGAGATTTCTACTCAAGTCCATTCCCTATTTTTAAAATGGGGCTGTTTTCTGGGGCGCCTGGGTGGCTCAACCGGTTAAGCCTCCCACTTCCAGCTCGGTAATGATTTCATGGTTTGGGAGTTTGAGCCACTTATCAGACTCTGTGTTGATAGCTCAGAGCCTGGAGCCTGCTTCAGATTCTCTCTCTCTCTCTCTCTCTCTCTCTCTCTCTCTGCCCCTCACCTGCTCACACTCTGTCTCTCTCTCTTAAAAATAAATGTTGAAAAAATAAAATGGGGTTGTTTTCTTGTTGATTGGTAGTTCTTCATATACTCAGGATATTAATCCCTTACCAGATATATGACGTGCAAATACTTTCCCCATCCAGTAGGTTGTCTCTCCACTATGCACTGAGTCCTTTAACACAAAGAAGGGTCAGACTTTTCATTTCCAAATTCTACAGTTATTTATCAATTCCTGTTTGCCTCCTAAACGAATTTATTTCAAAACCTGCTCTTTTCCTGGACTTCCCTGTATCTGAGGCACCACTCTTCTTTGGCAGGGGGCTCAAAAATTGAAACTCTTCATCTCCTCATCCCATGCTAACATCAAATTAAGGAACAACTTCCATATCTCTTCACTGTATTCGTAGATCTAGCCACTACTTAATGCGTATCTAATATGTCAGATACTTTGAAAACACTAGTTGTTTATTTTTTTTTTTCAACGTTTATTTATTTTTGGGACAGAGAGAGACAGAGCATGAACGGGCGAGGGGCAGAGAGAGAGGGAGACACAGAATCGGAAACAGGCTCCAGGCTCTGAGCCATCAGCCCAGAGCCTGACGCGGGGCTCGAACTCACGGACCGCGAGATCGTGACCTGGTTGAAGTCGGACGCTTAACCGACTGCGCCACCCAGGCGCCTCTGAAAACACTAGTTGTTTAAAGCCTCCACAATGCTGCGAGGCAAAGGAAAAATTAAAGCAGAGAGAGTAACGAAGTTACCCAAGAGTGAACAGTAAATGAATGACTAAATTAGGATTTACGGTCAGGACTGAGCCACGGTTGGTCTTAAAAGGCCGTCGCTCAGGGAATCTCCCCATGGTGAGGGGCCAGGGACCACCCGCGTCCCCCTCCCACAGGGAATTCTTCCTAGACCACGGAACCGGGAGCAGGACACGAGCCCGCCTCCCGGGGCTCCCTTCCGGTTCTCGTGCGCAGAGTAAAAGGGTCCGTAGAGCTCAGCTTACTTCCGGTGAGGAAAGGAAGGAGCGGCACCACCGGAAGCGAGAGAGGTGCTGTGTAATCACCTAAGAGCTGAGGCCTTTGGAGCTCCTAAAATGCCTGATTACCTCGGTGCCGATCAGCGGAAAACCAAAGAGGATGAGAAGGACGACAAGCCCATCCGAGGTCAGTTGACATAGGCAGGAGCTCCGGGCCGGAGCAGGGCCAGGCTTGGCCCCGGAGGAGAGGCTGGAGTCCCGCTCGCCACTCGGCCCTGTGCCCCTTTTGTGCCCCCGATGATTTCGTCGGGGGCGGCAGCCGGCTTACCCTGGCTGCCTCTTCTGTGTCCCTCATGCTACTCCAAGTTCTGTATTCATCTCTCGCTGATCGACATTTTTATTCATATTCAGCTAAGGTCCTGATGAAGTTACTCACCCTGCTTGGTCTTGCAGGCCTTGAAAAGTTTCCCTGCCTGGTGGTGCTTGGTCACCTGTATCCTCTTTCTGCTCCTCCTCCCCCTCAAGTGGGATGGCTTGGTGCTGTCACTGTGTAGTCAGGATCCTGAGAAGTAATTTTCTTTTTTAAAAAAAACATTCCTTTGAGTACCTAATTTATTCATATGGTTCAAAACACTAAATGCATAAAAAAAGACACATTGAAAAAGTGGTCCTTGGCCCCAGGCGTGCATGCATGATCCGCCGAGGCAACTAGTGTTGCCATTTTGCGTTATCTTTCTAGACATTTTCTGTGCATATCAAGGGTTTGTTCTTTACATAAAATGTAGCGCATTGTATATATACATTTTCGGATTTTAATGTGTCTTAGGGATAAGTTCATATCGTTATGTGTAAGGCGTCAGTGCTGTCTGCCTGTCTGCATCTGCATAGTATCCCACTTTTTTGGGTGAGTAGTAATACATATAATTAATCCTTAGTGATGCACATATAGGTGTCTTTCAATCTGGTGGCCATTCTAGAGCAGTGAATAACCTTGTTCGTGTACCTTACCACAGACACAAACACAAGCGGGAGGGTGAATGTTGGAAGTGGAGTTGTAATTTTGAAAATGTGAAATTACTCTCTGTAGAGAACACCGCCACGTGACACTTCTCCTCACAGTGCAGGTGATACGCACACGGAGCTCACAGGATTTCTTCCCCTTTTAGTTCCATCTTTATGCTCTTTTCTTCTTTTGTTCCTGACACGCTATTTAAAAAATATTCTTGCAGTGTTTTTGTTGTTGTTTTTCCCTTTTTCTCTCTTCCCTTCCTAAACAACTTCAACCTCTCCTAGCACTGTTTTTTCTTCTTTTCCACCTTCCCCCCACCAAAGAGATTTTCTCTTTATTTCATCCCACACTCTACTGTTTGCCTTGAAAGTGTTTTAGGATACTGCAGACCTCAGAGCTACTCAGGCACCTGGTGGAAAACTTAGTCACAGAGGTCTAATATCTCATCTGTCCATTTCTCTGGGTATGCCATCATTCTGTAAATGTATTACTAGATTTATTCCTTGCATATAATTATGATTAACGTGTATAGAGTTTTAGGTACTTCTTCATCCATATCTTATCTGACCTTTAAAGCAACATTGTGAGGGTGAAATTATTGTTATCTCTGTTTCTCAAAGATGACAAAACTGATGCTTAAAGTGGGTTTTCCAACATTACCTGGCAATTGCATGACGTTGCTGGGACTTTGCTAGCACCCAGGTCATTTTGATTCTCAACCTCTGTTCTTTGGGCTTCCTGTTTTTGTGTCACATCCCTTTGAGACTCTTCAGCAGCTGTGTTATACACTTTGTAAAATTCTGCCTTCACCCAATTAGTTAAAAGTTCCTGGAGTCCAGGAACTAGTTGTTGGTTGTATTTATATCATTACAACTTTGCATAGTTTTTCTCACTCAGTTACTGAATGTAAATTGAACAGAATTGTTAGCTCTACTTTCCTCTTTTTGAATCTCATGTATTCTCTCTTATTTTAGCTCTGGATGAGGGGGATATTGCCTTGCTGAAAACTTACGTAAGTCGTTTTCAATGTCTACCAAGTATAGATGTTTTATGTTGAAAGTACTATTGTTGGTACTAGCCTCCCAAAATAATTAGAAGAGAATGTCTGTAATCCTCACTGAAAAAAGTTACATACCACAGTTTCTCTCCAGATTAGATCAGAGAGCAAATATTTAGCATGTCAAAGCGCATACATTTTTTATACTATTTGTAATTAAGTGTGGTGCTATATTGAAAGATATTTGAAATAACTTAGACAAATGTTTACTATATTTAAAATGTATGTACCTGAATTAGATCTGAAGTAGAAAGTTTCAATGCTTAGGGCTTGTAGTTGGGTTAATTTCAGGCATGATTTTCATTTGTTACCTTGCATAATAGTGCATTGTGTCTTTGGGCAAAAATATTAGTTTGGGAATACTTCTGAAAATGATATACTCTCTCTACTTCCACATCACAAGCATTGGGACAATAATAGCTATTGAGATTGTAACTGTTAAAAGTTTCTGTCTGCAGTTTCGTAAATTGTTGATGTCTTGATATTCTAATTACAGTGATTTTTATCTCCTAGGGTCAGAGCACTTACTCTAGGCAGATAAAGCAGGTTGAAGATGACATTCAACAACTTCTCAAGAAGATCAATGAGCTTACTGGTGTGTATTTCATTATTCTTGTCTCTTATCTTTAAATGTAATGTGTTAATTACATCTAAGGAGTTTAAATACAGATGTTATTCCTTCGTGAATTATAGACAAAAAAAAATTACTATCCTTCCTGTCTGTTAAGAAATTGGATCTCCTTTAGTAATCTTTCACTACCTTTTACAACCAAATATAATGCTTAAGCAGTTAAGCAACATCATCCTTTAAGCAAGTAATGTTTCTATTGCTCAGAGACAAGTTCAGTAGACTCTAATAAACAAGTAAAAATTTCTTAGCGAATAAAAATGTGGTCTCACATGGTATTGCTTAAGTAAGTGGGCTATTGCCCAGTAGTTGGAAACTTTTCTGCTCATGAGTTGGAAACTTGAGTGGTGCAGTTTCATAGTATTTGTCAAATATAGTGTTGGATTTTGGCTTGTGACTACTTTAGGGCAGTGGTTTTCAACTGGGGTGATTTTGCCCCAGCATCCCTTTCCCCCAGGACATTTGGCAGTGACTGGAGATACTCTTGATTCTCGTGACTTGAAGGGGAGGTGGTGCTGGTGGCATCCAGTGGCTAGAGGCCAGGGATGCTGCCGACTGTAACACACAGGACACTCCCCACTGCCACATATTCAGTCCAAAATGTCATTGGTGCTGAGGCTGTGGAAGCTTGCTTCAAGGTGATGCATTACATTTCAGTGAACCTTGTTATCCTTCTTTATGTAGGTATCAAAGAATCTGATACTGGCCTGGCCCCACCAGCACTCTGGGATTTGGCTGCAGATAAGCAAACACTGCAGAGTGAACAGCCTTTGCAGGTTGCAAGGTATGCATAGCACTCCTTGGAAATTTATTCTTATCTGTATGCTCAAGCACTTTTTAGAATCCGAGGTATAATGCAATAGTTCATAAAAGTTTTTTATTCCACATTCTGCATAAATAAAGCTTTCTCCAGAAGTATCTGGGATTAAATTTTATGCCTTCAGTAATTATTCAAGAAGTAGGTAAAGACATAATCATATAAAAGATTCAAATGATACAGAAAGATCAGATGAAGACATGAGAACCTCCCTTCCCATCTTCACTGTCCCACTGCCCCTTCTTCAGCTACAACTGAAAATAGTTTGGTCCTCTTAGTCGTCCTATGTCTTCATGTATATATTTGCATGCAAAGAAACATATCCTGATTTTTTTTTTTTTTTTTTTTAGTACCTCTATTTCTGGTTTCTCTTGGTTTCTTTTTTTTTTTTTTTTTAATTTTTTTTTTCAACATTTATTTATTTTTGGGACAGAGAGAGACAGAGCATGAACGGGGGAGGGGCAGAGAGAGAGGGAGACACAGAATCGGAAACAGGCTCCACGCTCTGAGCCATCAGCCCAGAGCCTGACGGGGGGCTCGAACTCGCGGACCGCAAGATCGTGACCTGGCTGAAGTCGGACGCTTAACCGACTGCGCCACCCAGGCGCCCCTGGTTTCTCTTGGTTTCTAAAAATTTTGTAATATTCTGTAGATGTTGGTCTGTTTACAATTTCTGTTATTCTTCATGGTGCTACATTGAACGTTCATGTTAAATATTTCTCTATGTGTGTGCATTTATTTCTTAGTATAGCTTATTAGCAGTGGAATTATGAGGTCAAAGGCATTTACAGTTTTGAAAATCTGGAAAAAGGTGATTTGACCAGTTCATACTCCTTAACATGAGGTTTTGAGGCAAATGCCTGTTTGCCTGATCAATATAAGATATGTGATCATCAATTTTTACACTTTTGCCATGTGGGGGAAAATATCTCATCTTAATTTGCATTGTGCTGATTACTGGTGTGATAGCTGCTTCTTATACTTACTAAACATTTGTGTTTCTCTGTCCATTCATATTTTGTTCTATTGGTTTGTTTCTTGTGAATTTTTAGGAGCACTTTACATATTGTACATATTTATCTTTTCTTTAATATTCTACAAATATTTTTTTCCCATTCTGTCGCTTGACTTTTAACTTGTTGCTACCTTTTGTTGTACTAATGTTTAAAGTTTTTAGGAGGCAAATAAAATATGTAAACATTTTCGTTATACCTTTTGGGTTTGAATGTTGCTCAAGAAGCCTTAGCCCAATTCAAGATTGTATTCTTCTGTGTTTTATTCTAATCACTGGAAATTTTATTTTCATTTTATCTCTTTACTATGGTAAAGGTTATTTTTCCTTTCCTCTTTTCCTTTATCCCTTACTCCCTTTTTCTGTCTTTCCCATTTATTTTGGTTTATTTTTCAGTTTTATCATGGTTTTAAGGAGTTAAATAGTTCTATAACAATAGTTGTCTTTCCCAATTCCTCTTCCTTAGAGACATCTCTTTTCAAAATTTTTAGCTGGTTATTTTGATTTCTACCTTCATGATTCTTATGGACAATGCAAAATCTTATGTATTGTAGATTACATCTTGATTATTTTTTTTAGCTTTAGATATCATCTCTTGGCCTGAGGATTTCATTTTGTTTCCTCTGTCATTCCCAATAGGATAGGATACTTTTCCTATCCTACATCCTTAATTACATTAAAAATTTGGCTAGATCAGTATTCATTGATTTCACAACTGTGGCTAAGTAGTGCTATTTATAAAGAGGCAAGTAGTAAATAAACTGATTGCTTTTTCTTTCTTGTACCAGTTTTTATTTTTCTTGTCATAACCATCTCGTTTTCCTATATGCCTGGTTTTCTATGTATATAAATACTCAACTAAATTGATCTTCAGAAGTGTTAAGTCCATCAGGTTTTTTCTCACATATGCCTCAGGTGTGTCCTCTGCACCAGGATTCTCTCTGGTCCATTTTCCTGAAGAAGTCTTTCCCAGCA